CATTTGCCGAATCTATGATGAATGGGGGGGGGGGGGGGGGGGGGGGTGTTACACCCTCCCACAGGGTCCCCCCTCTAGCTACGCCCCTGCAATTTTTCGGTATTTTATTGAAGTTTTGAACGTTTTCAAGATTATCACCAAACTTTAACACGTCTGATAATCGGACAAAGTTGTCCATTTAGCAGCGTTTTATAATTTTATAGAAAGTTCAATTCAAATAAAGCCATGTAGTTACTGTTTAATAAAATGTTTGCAGGAGTCCAGTTTTCTAATGATATAAATAACAGTGCAACGGTAAATGTGTTTTTTTTTTAAATATTAAACAGTTACAGTATTACAACTTGGCTTCATTTCATTTTAAAGTTTTACCTATCACGTTTGGCTTATGAGTTCTCTGCATGTTTACTGTACGTCTGGTTTACTTATCACATAGATCTGGGTTAAACATCCCAAAGGTGGGAGTTTTTGTAATGTAACCGCAATGTGACGTGTTCCACATTGAATATGGTGATTGGAGGAATAAAATACATATTGATTTTGAAGAAATATGATGGCAAGTCTAAGGGGGCAGGGGGGGGGGGGTGATTATAAGCAACAAAATCCTGCAAAAATTTAATAAATTTAATAAATGCAGTAATAAATTTACGTGGTGTTTCCACAAACAAAACCTATTAAAATCCTGCAAGTTGCAACAAAAGCTCATTCAAATCACGCGTTCTGCCTAGATTATACCGAATATGTACATCACTGAATGAAAGTATTTAAATGTTCAATCATCATTGGAACATGCAAAAAGCTGCTCAAAAAACAATTAGTTTCTGCACATGAGTAGTGTACAGTAGGAACATAACTTTTGAAACAAAACATGCATCTAACCTCGTTTGTGAATTGAACACGAAGCTTCTGAACAAGATCATCTTTCTCCCGATTCCAGCTCAACAGCGCTTTTCTAAATTCCTCGTCTTTCTGCTTGATAATATAAGTAATCTCCTTTTCTTTTTCCTTGTGTAGCTTTTCCCTCAACTCGTGAACTTCTTGTTGTTTTTCCTTGTACCATTTTCTTCGAACTTCGCTCACCATTGCCTGTGCACGCTTACGTTCTTCTTCCCTGATTTGTTTCGCTTCTACAACTTGTTCTCGTCTTAAATATTGCTCATGGCTTTTCCCATCCATGAGCTCAGTTTGTAGTTCGTTTACTTTCTCTCTCAGTCCCTCGTTCTGAGCTTCCAGGCTCAGTCTCGCCATGTCAAATTCCAAACCTGTTAGCGGGGATTCAGGACGCTCTGCCTCGTCAGGACTCTTGGTCGGGGAAAGATTTTGCCTATGTCCTGACTCCATTTTTATGCCTTAAAAATGAAAACCAGAATTTTGTATTCTTAACTGTCAGTATAGCACAAGGTAGTATATATATATAGGGAAGCAAAAATGGCATATACTGTATCACAATGTGAAAATTTTCCATTTTCCATTACTGGGTTCTTAAAGATTTACCACAATTGTATACTATCAATGTAAAAACTGAACACTTATCAATATTCATTAATCATTTGGTTATTATAGATTTCCCATGTGATAAATTGGTAAAAATCATGATGTTTAATATCTACCATTAATGGTATTTTCCTATGCACAGAAAAAAATAAAGTACCATTAATGGAAAATATTAAACATGGTTTTTACACAACTTCTTGCAACAAACTTACGCATGCAAATATATTAAAGTAAGTTTATTATTTTGAATATTTACACCTGTTACTGACAGTTGTTGAGAACCCCCAACCTCGTTCCCAGGCTCTTTCCTCTTGTGGAGGAAAAACCCTGGTCGGAGCTGGTCACATGACCCATAAAAAATTGATAGCCTATAAGAGGGGGATGGAAAAGTCTCACATATTACATGTTTCCACTTCAAAAACCATTAATGAAAAGGTTTCTCCTGTGTATATGGTCAGGGATGATCAGAAGAAATTTGGAGTGGGGAATTTTTATTTTTTTGGGGGGGGAGGGGCAAGGGGATATGGATTTTTTTTGTTTACTGCTCAACAAAATGAAGAAGTTTGCTTTCCTGCGAGGTGGTGACGAGGTTATGTCCCGATTGAAAATTTTGAAATCTTGAACTTCTGAAATTGCATATCAATTTGTTTATTTTGCATTTCACATGTACAACCAGGGTGCAATAATTCAATATTTTTAGTCATACTTGACTGGTACGCCAATGGTTGTTGCCGCGTACTTGCACAAACTCATTGTGTATTTAGTCATTAAAAATAATGTAAGGTTCGTAAAGTACAGGTTTCTGAAAGTATATTCAGGTTACAAGGTAGAAAAAGAAGCACAATTGCATATATAAACAATGTCCAATCAGTCCAATCATGTTTCATGCCAATTATTATAATTATAATAATAATAATAAAATCTTTATTTATACTGCGTCATTGTGTCAGCTGACAATACGATGACCGCTGGAATTAGACATCTCAGTTCTCACACACGATATACCAACTAAATTACAGTATTGAATACCTTGGGCTTGGACAGGTCTTGTGCTATCAGCAAAAAGTAAGTACGCAGATAGCAAGAGTTCTGTGTACCTAGTACGTGGCTGAAAACAAATAAGTACCAGACCGTAATATTGACATACTTCCGGTACATAAGTACACAACCTGCAACATAGAATCTGACATTCTCATATCACTTCACATATATTTCACTCTTTTGAGGAGTTGGCGGGGGGGGGGGGGGGGGGCAAAGGAAAGGGCATACAAATCTGCCAATCCACCCAAATTTAAGCAAAACTCTACTATGAAGTCACAATCCAGGATCGAACCAAATTGCAAGCTAAAATACAATCCGAGCCAAAATATTAGATAAATCCGCTATATTAACAAGATCCAACAAATCTGGCATAACATTTTCCAATTTTTCTGTGAAACCAAACATCCAAAACCTAAACAGTTCCCCCCCCCCCCCACCACCCCCATATAGCTGCAGCCCCTGGGCTACACACATTAAACAATGATGGGCTGGCAGCCTGGCATGCAGCAACTCTAAAGCTATACCACAGAATAAAGATCAGTAACAGAAGGGCCACTCAGTGGTGCAATGCATCCTCATTTTTTAATGTAAAAATATGCAGTTTACTGGCCAGAAAGCAGAGCAACCAGCCAGTACAGCGTGTTTATTGGCCAGAAAATGTCATTGCATAACTGGCTAGGAAAATGGCCGACAACATGCGTAATGCGTCTGACATCCACGAGGACAGAAAATTCAAAGCTTCCAATGGAAAGTGGCCGTTCTGTATGTGCTTTTCAATATGCATTTTTGGTGATATCCTTGGGAAAAGTCGAGCTCATAAAATAAGATGACTGAAAAGTTGCTGTTCTTCCAAAGGGGATGTGTTTTAACACGCATGTTGGATGAGCACACTCAACTGAGCTCCTTGCCTGGTTATTAGTTACATATTTACTACGTAGTTGTCATTTATAAATTGAATAATGAACAGTCGTAGATGAAATGAAAAACATTGTCTATTAATTCTCAAGTGAAACGTCACTGTTTGTAACAAGCATATGAAAGTTTCAATTACCTGGATCAAGCTGGTTAAATATGATCGGCTGATCAGATTAAAACCTGACAAAAAAGCTCTTGACAAACATTTAAGTTTCACGTTGGCCTCGACGTTGGCAGCTAAAATTTTTATCTGCAAATTTTCGTAATTTCTTAATACTGGATGCAAAAATGGTAACAAATAAATGAACACTGCAAATATTTTCTCTCGTTCATTTGATTTCGTGTGAATATTAAGCTGAACATCATTGGTCACTATTTACACTTTATAGCGAATTTTAATGTTTATTATTGCCGAAGTTGTCGAACATATTAAAGTCATTAATTAATAAGCTAATATATGAACACACATTGCCGTATTAAAATAGTATTAAATAGCCCATTCAATATAGCTTTATATAAAATAAAAATTTATTGTTTTTTTATACTTACCGGAGGAGAGATTTATTCGTTTTCAAAGAAAGAAAGTGTCCGATATTGGAATGGCGAGCTTGCCGAATGTTCACTTTGCATTGTTTACTGACCCATCTTGGAATGTTTTCATAATAAATATCGCGCGGGGATGAAGGACTGGAAACGAATATGGTAAAATCGCCGCTTTCCGCGCACGGAAATTGCAGAGAATTACAGACATTATATCTAAGTTTACTTTTAGTTGTACGGCAGTAAACGTCCATAAATTTACGCAACTGTCACGTCGAATTTCTCTTTCAATGCTAATTCGTTTGTGATAACTTCATGCACTCAAACTCGCGCCTTTTATAGTAATTTTATTAAGACACCTCAAGTGCTCAAGGGCAAGGCTCAATATTCAACGACATAAACATTTATGTTGAGTGCTTATGCCGAACGTTGGCTATCATATCTACGGCATAACCACTCAACTTGGATGGTTATGACGTCAGTGAATGTCTTCGGGATAACCATGCACTCAACTTGGATGGTTATGTGTTGACTGTCTTCGGCATAACCATTCAACTTGGATGGTTATGCCGTTGACTGTCTTCGGCATAACCATTCAACTTGGATGGTTATGCCGCCAGTCGAATTTGTTCGGCATAAACATTTAACTTAAATGTTTCTGATGCCGTTGAATATGTTCGCCATAAACATTCAAACTAGATGTTTATGCCGTTCAACGTGCCAGCACCTTTGTAGAAAATCGCTGATGATATTATCATTAGTTAATATTATTAATATTCTGTTAAGCGCTCACAGGAGAACTGGTAACGAGTGACGTTAAAAATCGTGTTTGTGGTGTGTTCGAGAACTTTTATGATATTATTTAGTTTTAAATAAAGAAGTAAAAATAACTCAAAAATGTGATTTATTCAGTGTGAACGGACCGGAATTCACCACACTGAAAGTGGCGACCCCGGCAGGATAATTAACGGGAAATTTCATCATTTGTTTTATATTTACGATCGGATTGCGAAGGATTGTTTGTGGGAATGGGCTATTCCATTTAATATCCGCACCCCCCCTGTCGAGGATCCCTGGAATTCTTCAGGGGTAAAGGGTTTTGAGCTTGGAATTCTTCAGGGTAAAGTGTTTTGAGCTTGGAATTCTTCAGGGGTAAAGTGTTTTGAGGTTGGAATTCTTCAGGGGTAAAGGGTTTTGAGCTTGGAATTCTTCAAGGGTAAAGAGTTTTGAGCTTGGAATTCTTCAGGGGTAAGGAGGTTTGATTTGAAATTTTTCAGAGCTTGGAATTCTTCAGGGTAAAGGGTTTTCAGCTTGGAATTCTTCAGGGGTAAAAGGTTTTGAGCTTGGAATTTTTCAGGGGTAAAGGGTTTTGAGCTTGGAATTCTTTAGGGGTAAAGGGTTTTGAGCTTGGAATTCTTCAGGGGTAAAAGGTTTTGAGCTTGGAATTCTTCAGGGGTAAAGGGTTTTGAGCTTGGAATTTTGGAATTCTTCAGGGGTAAAAGGTTTTGAGCTTGGAATTCTTCAGGGGTAAAGGGTTTTGAGCTTGGAATTTTGGAATTCTTCAGGGGTAAAAGGTTTTGAGCTTGGAATTCTTCAGGGGTATAACCATAAAAAACATGTATCCTCGACAGGGGGTGTACGGATATTAAATGGAATAGCCCAATTAGCAGTGGATATGGAACTGTGAGTAGATTTTCTATTAATTTTGTGGATATATTTCAATTACTAAAGCGTTTATTTATCGTGGGTTCTCATTATATCGTTTAAAAACTACACAGTTTTGGATTAACTTGACTATTTTTCATTGGAAATCGGTGTTTATATATTTTGTCGACAACAAGATATTTGGGGACATAACGTTTGTCTTACATCACGTACATGAGTAACAATCTTTTAATATTGGGTTTTATATGGACTGGAGCATTGACAGTGGAGTATAACATTGCTTAAATTCAAGATATCAATACAGTGAAGTGATAAATAACTTGGAACTTGGTTTTTAATACTATTACATTTAATGT